AGTCGTAAAAACTTGTAAAAAAAATGATCGACATTGTGTAATTATAAAATTCCGGTGATCACTGGCAGGGGAGTGTAGTACATATGTCGGAGAAATACGGTGTTTTAGTTTTTATTATCGTTATCTGTCAAACAACATTCATACGTATGTAATTTCTATACGTAGATAGCTGATGAAACAAAAAAAGCAAAAAACAAGAAGCGAATGTCTACGTAAACCGGTCTCGGAGCATTAACATTTTACTGTTAATGTTAAATATGACAAAACCTGGTTTAAAGTTTACCATATCTGGTAACGCTTGAAACACAACAATATCACTTTACTTTGAGGCTACAATATTATTTTATATATTTCGATATATAGTTAAGATTAAAATTAGGGATGGCCTAATTCTAATTTAACGCCTGAAATACAACAATATCACTTTACCGATACTTGCGTACGTACACATATTGAGTCTACAATACGTGTTATTTTATTCCGATAGTTAAGGTTAAAATTAATTCTAATTTAGGAATTGGAGATTGCTAACCCTAATTTAGAAGTTAGGGTTAGAAGTTCGGGTTAGGGTTGGTCTACACATGCGTAGTATGTTGATCACTTTCAAAGTAATACATTTAGAGAAATGAGAAGTATTTTATTAATATTAGATTGGTGATACAGGAGCAAATACTTAACGCATTAATTCATATTGCATCCTTAAATTTTTAAATGTAATATTAATAATCTTAAATTCAAAACAATAATTAGATCCTGAGGCTGATTGTGATTGAAACTATGGTCCTAGTAATTTTGAGACTAATACCAAAACCGCAGTCTTGATTAAAGACTGTCATGTGGGACGCGTAGGACGAAGAGTATCTTTAATCGAGCAAAAGGAGTATTTCTTGGAGAAAATCTTTAATTAAGATTAAAACAATAGTTCGATTGTGACCGATTTAGCAATATTAATTTTATCTCATTTTGCATTTACACAAACATTTGAGGCGAAATCTAAGAAAAAAGGTAGATTTATATGATAAGGGATGAATTAGTCATGAGAACGCTTCACAAGTACGTACGTATTTACGTATTTTACGTATGTACGACTTGTTTAGGTTTTGATATATATAACTTTTCATGAAGGATGAGTACATGCGGAGTACATACATCCGTACGTACTACCGCTACCTGCTTCGAATAACTTAAGATTTCATTTGGCGCTAATTTTGATGGATCAATGACGGCATGTGCGATAGTTAAGCCGTTGATTATACGTATAACTTTATCGATTTATAGAAACAGTTACAGCCTAATTTTTTTTTTTAGATCATTAAATATTAGAGTTAGTCTGTTACAATATTAACAATATTTTTTATCTTAATGATTCGTACAAATAATCATATATGCCTCATTTTATAATGAAAGTAAGTATATGGAGTTTATGGCGTATATAGTCTACCTTATATATGTTTCTTTTGTGTATAAGGTCATCTGACCATCTGACGTTGTTATTAACTATGTAATTTAATGCTATATAATGTACAAGAATTATAAATATAACGTTAGAATTTTATGAAAGTTTTTGCTACTCGAGAAATTTGCTAGTTTATGCTTTTGACCAAACTTTTTATAATAAAAAACTCGAACCACTAAAAGTAAGCATTTATAACCTAGTTCGCCTTTTGCTTAAAAAAAAAGGTCTATAATGTCAGTCCAACCCCAATCGACATTAGCACATCACGAAAAATCTTTCAATGATTCGGCAGTAATGTTTGATCCCATTAACGTTACCACTAATTCCACCACATCGGCTCCTGAAAATCAAACTACCTCGCCTATTCAACATCATCGACCAAAATCTAAACGAGTGACGAATAGTTTTTTCGGTAAACGAAGATCAGAGTTTTATGATGATGATGACGAGTTCTACGATGGTTGTTGCGGATCTCTCCGTTCGATTGGATCACAAATTATATATCGATTTAAAGAACTTGTGAATAGGACAAGAAAAAAAAGTGCTACCAATGTGGATGATGAAAAGCTGAGACCTTAAATAATGATAATAATTGCAATGACGATAATCAACAATAATAACGTTAATAACGTTAATAATAATAATAATAATAGAGCAATAATGTTAATACGTGAGTTTCATAAATAAGATGTTCTCAATATTTTATTTTATTTTATTATATTTTATTTTACTTTACTTTTTGTTTCTTATCAGTATTTTATTTACATTCCATATAGTTTTCGGTTCTTATAACATATTAGTGAAATGCAATCTGTTTTTTTTTTGTTTTAAATTTATACATACAACTTTAAAAATAACTTAATTTTTAATATAAATACATATAAAAATAAAATAGAAAATTTATATAGTTATATGATGCTGAATTTGAAACTAACCGATAAAATTGTCTTATAAACCATTAATTAACCATTCGGACGCGTTATTCAGTTTCAGCCAAATTTCAACGCCAAATTTATATTATAAAATGACTAGTGTTCTGTAAGTGATAAGCACGACTCCTGGAATTTGCAGAACTCTAACGCTATTGATAACTATTGAAATAAAACACACTAACGCTAATTTATGATGCATAGAATAGTTCTTAGTACTTCTATAGTTTAACCCGAATTAGTAAGCAGATCACGTTTAATGTTCCGAATCTGATTCTAGATTTCTGTTCCGTCTTATAGCTCGATTTAGGAATAGACTAGAAAAATCACCGTTTGAAAGTGTTCTGATTGATAATTTTTTTTTATAAGCAGAATTGGAAAATGATCTTTGACTTAATGACTAGGTCATTTATCATTTCATTTCAAACCTATATAATGAAAATGACTATCGAGGTAAAAATTGCTATCCAATAAAATTCAAAAATCTTGTTATATTCGTATATTATTTCTTTGATATCACGGAGTAAAAATTAAATACACATAATTTAGGATATCATCGGTTAAATTCTAATCCTATTTGGGATCTTTGCTAGGAAAATGACCCTCCGAGGCTATGTTGATTTTAGTAAATAAAAATTAAATTTACCAGACATATAATTATTCAATTTGAATGAACTTTTTTAATATAACTATATGGTTGGTAAATTTAATTTTTATTTACAAAATCAGCATAGCCATGGAGGGTTAATTTTCTATTTTATATTTAGCATATTGCTTGTGTATTTTATATCCAAGTTATATAGCCAGTTTATTCAAATTATTATTAGCTTTATTATTTTTTAAAAGTGTATTATTTTTTAAAGGATTTTTGTAATTACCGATTAATTTTGTGCAATATATACAAAAATTAATATACCACCTTCTGCGACCTAATTAAAATATTCCTTGTGAATGCTAAGTTATTCTAACCTAGCTCAAACCCTAACGTGGCTTTACTTCAGTATGAATATTTTGTGGGTAAATTTCAAAAAAGTGTTCAACATCGATATTATTACACATATATTGCAGATCATATTCAATATAGCAAATTCTAATCATACATTTGAACCAGCAAACCCACCAAAGTAAAATAATACATTGATACCAGGGCTACCGAATAATTGATTGTGAGGGCAAAAATTTGCGAATAACGGTAATTTGGCAAATGTGCACGTGCCGCAAAGCGGCACGTGCAGCCAATCACTTGCCAAATTACTGTATCTTCAAATTTACCCAATAATGGTGTTATCCGGCAATTGGGCTGAAGCTTTAATTTGAATAAACACAATTACATCGTATCACATGAAAAAATAACGTGCAGAAATTAATTTATAATCCTGTAATCATATGAGTTTGCAATTATTTGACCTCAATTAATTGATTGGTGTTGCAGCTACAATTGGTCAATTAATTGCACAGTATGTAACATAATAACTTGCTGATCTTTGACGTCAAAATTATAGTTAAAAAATCATTAATTTATTATAATTATTTCAAATTAATTGTTTTGCAATTGTAATTGTGTAATAGTAATTGTGTAATAATTTAAATTTTCGGTACCCCTGATTAATACATATATTTGTCAGGTTCACTGTGAAAAAAAAAATCAGTCAACGTTTATAGTATTTCAAGTAATCTTAAACAAACATTATGATAAAAATATACATTAAAAGACCCTACAACACGATACACCGCCTGTCAGCTCTGCTTTACTTTAATACTAATAAATACTAGCTTCACGATATGATGAATATACACCCTAACCTTAATATCTTGGGGAGGCGTTCCTTTGATATTAATGATTGATGCCGAAACCAATGCATTTGATAATTATTAGTTTTTTATTTAGTTTAACTGTTTCAGCATCAGCTATGATAATTTTTAGACTATAAGATTTGCAAGGTTTTTTTTTTTGACAGCGTTCATTTATGGTTTAAGATATCTAGTATAATATACTATATACAATATTATAAGTT